TAACCTGGTAACATATGCTGTGTAGTACACCCAAACAGGAGCCCGAGATAAGACCATGGACAAACGCCTGGACCCATCCCGAGACGGGTGCCGAATACACATTGAGTCTCGTGCGGTCTGAAGCCCTCAATGATGATGAAATTACGCGGTGCTTTCATCTAATTGAGCAGACGAGCCAAAAGGACTATAAGAACTCAAGTTCTGGGTGGCATCCCGCAAGGAAGCTCAAGGAGATGAGGTCGCCTGGACTGCGATACATCCTTGTCAAAACAAAAGATACAGCATCACTCCGTGCGTTTACTTCGCTAATGCCGACCTACGAGGAAGGGCAGCCAGTCATTTATTGTTATGAAGTCCATCTTCAAACGGACCTTCAGGGGTAGTGTACTCGGTCTCATGGGTCTCAGCCCTAAGGCAGCCCTCGGCTGACAATGATTCCACATAGGACCGGCCTGGGTGCCTTGCTCATGGGCTTCCATTCAACAGCCGCATCCAACCTGCCGCCCATCACAAAGGTCATGTTGACATGCTTCTTGGCCAATCAACGTGGCCTCGCCTTTTACAAAAAACTTGGTTTTGAGACCGACGAAATTTCTCCGGTACCACGAAAGCTTCGTTACGGCAAGATATTCACACCAGACTATGTGATCCTCAGCAAGACGATTCGTTCCGTTCTTGACAGTCAACCAAAACTTGCAAAAGAACAAGATCCCGGGCCCAGTCCCGCCCGTCTCACCGGTCCTGCGTCATTGACAACGAAAGCCGGTTGATGTCATGGTGCCTTATTATCGGCTGGGCGGCGGTTTGGCGAGAAGGATCGCAGCCACCCTCAACGCTGTCACCAAGCCACATTCTGCTATCCTCCAATCTTGAGAACGCGAGCCAAACGAAGGATCGAGGCGGGCTCCCCGTCCAGGGTCTTGGCGGGATGCCGATCAGGTCAGCAGGTGTGGGCCCGACATCATTGCACAGCGAACGACAACTGCGCCTCCAAATGAGGTGCTAGTTTTTGTCCCAATCGGGATAATACACAGTGGAAGTGCCATGGAGTTTGGTGCTCAGTTCCAACGGGGCAAGCCAGGGCAGCACTTGGCATTTGCCTTATATCCGTAGTTACTTCGTACTTCGTATACCGGCGAGACTGGAATGATCCTTAAGTTGACGTCGCCCGCAAAGATACAAAAAGTCGTCGTTTCATCTTGCGTCTCTGAGTTTTGACCGGAATTCATCACTGTGACCCCGGCACCAATCATCAATTTGTCGAAGCTGCGAGCACCTCTGTGTTTCACCACATCCACACCCAACCACAACACCATGGCCCAGAACGAGAAGAGCGCCCAAGGCCAGTGGACGAACAGCCTTATCCGGTTCTTTCCCTGCGGATTCTTTTGGAAAACGCAATGCTGCCCCTGCTATAGTATGTCTATACACTTCTGACATGCAAACATGTGACGAATGCCCCACGTTTCGTTACTGGCGTTCTTCATCCAGACCGACTAACCCATGCATCCGGCAGCCTTTGCCGACACTGCGCAGCGCCTCCGTGACCCGACCGTTCCCACCGAAGAGCACAGCCGTGACTGCGTCGAGTTTGGTCGCGCATACTGTATTGGTACATACGCGAGGTATGTCTTGTCACTCGCGCACCCGGGCCCCTCCTCCGTTATTCCCCTACAATGACCCTCAATTTCACCCGATATGAAGAGAAACAATTAAAGATGGAAATCAAGAAGGCTAACCTGTCGCTTTTGAATGAAGCCCTCTCAAAGAACACCGCAAAGAAATCCGCGAGCGCTACGGCATCCCGGGGACATCCTCTAATGACTTCTGGGTGTCGTGCTGTTGCCCGGGGTGTGTCGTGATGCAGCACGAGGACGAGCTCAAGGCACGCCTGGGTGCGGGTGTCGGCGGGGCTGCGGTGGTGAGCGAGGGGTATCAGCCGACGGGTGGGATGCAGGTGCAGCAGCAGCCGCAGCAACAGTAATGGGAGCGACCAACTGCACTTTAAATACTGGGATGGGGAGGCAGGTTTGGATATGTTCAGAGGGTGTAACCACTCACGTAACACTGCTGAGCGCAGGATGTTGGTGAGCGTTTTGAGGGGCGGAACCCCTGGGCGTGTTGTTGGGGAGCAGGACGGTTCAAGCCGATGTTGGTGCTTTGAGAGTGTTATTTGATGTTTTAGCGTTGCTTGATGTTACAGTTGGCTTTTGCGGCCGAAATATACCCTCACAGTTTTATTTGTAGTCATTTTTTCCGTCGTTTAGCACCTTGGGAAGCGAAAAGTGGTGGTTGCTGAGATAAACCTTCAGCTGGCAATCCCCCCCTGTCGCCAATAAGCGCGCCGGCGCAGGGGAAAACGCGTGTGGCGTTCGACAAAAGGCTGAAATGAACGACAGTCAGTTCATCGTTTCGCCTTCATCTCAGTAAATTTCTCACTTCACCAATGTCCACATAAATATCATTACCCTTCCCGACGGATTATCGCGTCAACTCCGCGATGGCGGTGGATTCAGCGTCCTCGGCGCCAAACGCGCTGGGGTCTCTCAATTCCTTTGTAGAGGCGCTAGTTGGTGAACGTCTCACCTTCACAGTTGTGGTAGCCGTCCTCCTCCCACTCATCCTCACATATGCCTTCACTACCTTCAACGCCAACTGGATCCGCAATGTCCGCGGCAAAGGTAACCCCCCACCTGTGCCCTATGCCTTGCCGGTTCTGGGCAACACCTTCCAGTTTGCCTACGACACTGAGGGGTTCATCACGAAAACAATGTAAGCATCCGGTTCTCCCCCTTTCCACGTCCTACAACATACTGCCGTTGCTCACACCCACATCCCAGCAAACGGTTCGGCCGTGCCCCTTTCCGGCTCTTCGTCGGACTTGAGACGATGTACTACATCCCACACGGGGCCGCGGTGCAAGCCATGTTCAAACATGCGCGCGACTTGTCGATGAAGCCCATCATTGTCGTGGCTATGCGCGACCAATTCGGCATGTCAGCGCAGGATTTGGCCGTGTTTGAGCGCGACCACTCTGGCGATGAGGCGCGGCCGTTGGAAGGGTTTGAGGACGTGAATCCAGCCCATCGTGTGCTGTATCAACAGCATCGGGATCTGCATTTGATGCTGAATGGCGCCGCGCTGGAGGGCATGATGGGGCGGTTCGTGGGGAATTACACGACGTACTTACGGGATACGGAGATAGTGGGCCAGGGACAGGAGTGGGTTGAACTGCCGGACTTTTACGGTTTCCTGCGTGATGCTATGTTCCAAGCATCTTGCAAGGGCCTACTCGGAGAGCGCGTCTTTGAGGTAGCGCCGGAGCTTACGCGTGAGTTCTGGGCCTTCGATCAGAATCTTCTGACCTACTTCCGCCGTACGCCGCGGTGGCTGGCCCCTGGTGCGTATGCCACGCGCGACCGGGCGCTGGCCGCGCTTAAGAAATGGGTAGTTCACGCGCGGGAGCAGCTCGACTACCGAGACCCGTCGCTGGCCGGTGTCGAGTACGAGCCCATTTGGGGTTCCCGTTTGATGCGTATGCGGGCGGAGATGTTTGACAATGCCGGCTTCTCGCTGGACGGCGCTGTCTGCCAGGATCTAGGTTTTCTATGGGCGTCGAACGCCAATGTCATCCCCGCGACGCTGTGGGGGATGCTGAACGTGCTCATCTCGGAGAACCTCACCGCGCGGGTCACAGCCGAACTGGCCGAGTGCTTCGACGAGTCCACCGACAAATTTGACATCGCTGCGCTGTGCGCCAAACCCCTACTGACTGGCGTCTACCTTGAGTCGCTACGCCACTGCGCGGCCGTCAGCTCCGCACGCAACCCTGTGACCGACAACTTCCAGCTAGCCGGGTGGTCCATGCCGCGCAACTCGTTGATGCTATCGATCGTGTGGTTCGGCGCCCACGACCCGGACTTCTGGAACCAGGGTCGCGTTCGCCCAGATGGGAAACCCGAACACCCCGTCGACACCTACTGGGCTGAACGCTTCCTCGAGTACCCCGACGATCCGGCTAGTGGACCTGTCAAGAAAAAGGACGCCACCATCTACACTACACCCGCCAAGAACGCCGGCAAGCCTAAGACCGCCCAAGACGACAAGACAGCCAAACCCATCTCCAGCACGGCCGCTCTGCAGGGCTACTTCTACCCGTACGGCGGCGGTACTCGCATCTGTCCTGGACGCCACTTGGCCAAGCAGGAGATGCTGGTGGCCTTGGCGGGGATGATGAAGGCATTTGAGATCGAGATTCTCGATCCGGTGGCCGCGCGCCAGGTGAAGCCGGATATGCGCGCGTTTCCAACTGGAGCGATGGGGCCGGACCGGAAGGTGGCTGTGAGAATTCGGAGGAGGAGGGGGTGGTAGGTAACGAGGTACATGTCAGGGAGAAAGCTTATGGGGAAGACGGGTGAAAATGTAGTTAATGTCTAGTTTAATCGTGAGCAGAAGGACAAGCCGGCACCTGTAACTAGAATTTACAAGAAACATATAAAGTTTCAAAACCAGTTTTCAGCAGATAGCCGTGGAGCATGGGAGGAGGAGGTAGTATTGCTGGACGACCAAGCTGTCAAAAAACGAGGGATGTTTTCTGGTTAAAATGCGATCACAATAAAGGGGTTGTCCTTATCCAGGACGCTTTTTAGCAGGGTAGGTGGAGTGAAAGCGGAGCCGTCAGGCTAGAGTTTTTGAATGTACCTACGTAGGGGATGTTGTTCTTCTACCTCTACTTGAAGTAAATTGCCGCGTTGGAGAAAAAAGAGTCGCTAGGTAAAGAAAGAGAGTTGCTACGGCTGGCTAATCGGTTCGTTTGGGAGTCACGAAGCGCTGTGAATTCTTCGAGGAAAATGTGGTCAACGGGCAGCGAAGCACAGGCCACTTTTGTGCTTGGCGGGCCCACCTTTCCCGGACGAAGCGCACATGCAAAGAGCGGGGTTCTGAATACTATGGAGTCAGCCCGCCAGCAAAACACATCATGACTGTGCAAAGAAAAAGAGTGCGGTTTATGTGGATCGAACACATGACCTTCAGATTGATGGTACCGAAGTTTTGGCTTCAGTCTGACGCTCTCCCAACTGAGCTAAACCCGCATTGGATTTGTTGAAGAGAAACCCGGATAATGTGACTTAACAAGGAGTCGAAGGGCCCAACTTGATAGTATCACGAGCCCCATCAACCACAACGATGGTAGAAACAGACAACAGCTTCGGGCCTCGCGTTGGAATCTAATTACGTACGATGGATATCTCTCTATTAACAAGCCAACTAACCAACAAGGCCCAACAGATATTATTTTAGAAACTAATTGGACCGTTTGGCCTGATTACTCCTTCTTCTTCCCCTCTCCCACCTCCGCCCTCTCGCTCCTCCTTTTCCTCCACGCTTTGATCTCATTCAAAAGCCCCATGACCAATGGCACTGCCACCGGCCCCAAGAGCGGGAGATATACCGCGATCTTGTGCTCGTCAGGAAAATACAACTGCCCCACCATACTCTTCTCGAAAAACGCCCTTTCTGCCTCCGCCTCCGCAATGCGTGCGTGCGCAAGCCCTTCTGGCCCGCCCAGCGTATCACATGCGAGACGTAAATGGTGCATTGTTTTCGAGACGCCTTCGGCAACACGGCTCGGAATGGAAATGGACGGGAGGGCGAGAGCCAAGCGGGCGAGGGATCCGAGCGTGGAGGAGGCACGCAGGAGAAGGTCGGCGGAACGGATGCGCGAGAGTGTGGACAAGCGCAGTGGGAGAGAGCCCGATTGCGGTGTGCCAGTTAGAGACAGAAGATGGGAGGTGAAGGTGAGGAGGGGTTGCTTGAGAGCCTCGGCCGAGAGGTGAGTTGTGTCATGAGATAGGGGTAGGAGGTAAATAGTGCCCCATTGCGGGATCAGCCAGGAGTGGGAGGCGGCGGCTGGTGACCCAGTGTCACCGTCAACGGGGTCTTGGGATGATGTGGCGATTGTTTGGTTACCGATGAAAACGATGAAGTTGACAGTTGGGGCTCCTCCGATAGAAGGCGAAAGCGGCCACTCCGCGGCGTTGATGAAAGATGAGAGATCCTCTTTGTTCAGCACTTGGTTCTGGACCCCCGGTGTGGCATACAGCTGGACTTGTGTGTCAATGGTAAAGTTGTGGATGGGAGACAACACATCGAGCACCGGTTTCATGTACGCTCCGATCGCTCCGTCAATGTCCCAGTCGCTCGGCAGCGGTCCGCTGGTGAACAACGAAAAGGTCAAGTGGTATGTAGGCGCATATTTCAGCGAGCGGGTCATCCGCTTCGCAAGCGAGTCGGATACATCGGATGAGAGCCCTTGAGCGCGGTGATCAGGCGGGATCGAATTGGTCGATAGTAGGTATGAAATCGTGGCCTGCTCTTCAGCAAACGTCGCTCGAAGTTGGCTGGCTACGTATGTGGCGAGGGCAGAAGACGACGAGGTAGGAGACGGGATGGCGTTCGGTGGGTACGTGATATCGAGGATCGGCTGATGCGGGTCGAACTTGGTCGTGGTTGTGTCGCCGGGCACGAGCCGGAGCGTCAGCACGCTCTCAGACCCTGCATGTTCGGTGGTGGATGGCGGTGCGAGCTGTAACCGAAGGTGGTGGCCCGAGAAATCATTGAGGTCGTCGAGAGCGTGTTGGGTGAGTCGGAGGAGGTTCTGGGCTTCTTGCTCTTGAAGCGCGTTCGCTTGGATCGAGATGCGGAGCGGGAAAACGGGACGGCATGCCTAGAACCGGAGTCAGCAGCTTCGCTCCGCCAGATGCCGCTCAAGGGTATGCAAAAACAACCGGATCGAACGCACCTTTCCATCAGACCAATCGAGCATCTCCTGTAAAGGCAAATCAGCCCGATAAATTGTTGTGGTTTTCCACCATATCGGCAAGCCAAGACAGAGCACGATCAGCCAGAACGAGAGGATGATGTGGCTTCGTCGGCGGACGTCGGACGGCTTCTCGGGCGGCGCCAGCTTTTTGGCCCCGGCTTCAGACTGTGTTGCCTTTCCACCGTCGCCATTGCTACTGGAGTTGGACACTACTCCGGAGCCTGGTTCTGCGCCGGCGACGGGCCCATCGGAGGTCACCGCGCCGTCATCGGGCGGTAGTTGAATCGACATGGCGCACAGCGGGTTGCCTATCCATTCGAGAATCGACCGCGTGCTGGACACGCTTCATCCGCCGTTGGTTTCGCTGCGGGAACAACTGCCCCTGTTGCGTGCCCCTGCCGCCCCCTTGTCGAAATCGACTGGCGGACCGCTAGTTTCTGCCTCAATAGGATTAGTGCTGCACGTGGCGATAAGACGAAAGTCCCTGATAACACTTCTGTCGTCTTGCTCGCAAGCTTTGCTTGAATCATAGGAACTGCCCCGAGCTTCATCAAGTCACAGCGACCCTGGTTCACATGGTGACCGAGACCAACTCAACCCGCTGACTCGTCCCGAGGCACAGGAACCAACCCCGGAGCCCATCTCCGTTTCGACGCCCGCACCTACCCTAAAGTTTAGGCCGTTTCGACTTGATTCGGTTTTTTGCCAACAGAGCGGCAGATGCTGCGTTGGACAATGGAACAAGCACTCAAGTTGAACTGAAGGAGCTATTCGAGAAGGCCCGGGGTAGAGCTGTCACTCATGAGTTATACCCTTAAACCGGCCTCAAAATAGTTAACTTTCGAGTTCATTTCGCTTTAACAAACATGACGCCACATGCCTCCGACCTGAGAGTGTTGCGGTGGATCGATCGTCTCCACGCGCCCCGCAAAGGATGGTCAGTCCCCCAGTTTCTTCACACTGCCGTGCCTGCTTCGCCTTTTCCGCGTTGCCGCTTTCCAACGATTCCAAACGCTCCAAGCGGGATCGTGGAGTGGGCGATGCGTTGTTGTTGTCTTGGCATTCCTTTGTCTGCCCCCCATGCTTCCCTGCATGCAGCAGAGGCAACGAGCCGAGGCACGTCCCATGCGACTGACTGCGCAACCTATGTCCGCATCACTTCGACCGCAGCCGTCCAGCAGACGCTGATTTCATCCCGATGAGGCGAACGGATGCAGTGGCGTGGAAAACGGCCCCGTGAGATAATGGTTTGGTAGCGTTTTTAAGCACCCGGTACCTAGGTTGGTTGTGACTTCTCATGATTCGGACTCTGAAGGTAAGCGTTCTCGGTTGTGCCTATGATCCCTGTCCATTGATGTTTTCCTTTCGCGGGGCTCGCCCGAAACCCGGGATAGGTTCAGATAAATCCGTCTACCGCGGCCGAGATTGGGTCACAAGCCGAGGGCGTTTGCCAACTTCAATCCCCGGGATCCTCGCCGACGCCTCCGATCCCAGAGGCTCCCTTTCCCTTTTTCTAACTTCTTTCTTTGATTGATACCCAGAGTCCGTAAACCCATAGGTCGGTTCGGGCCCTGCTCTGTTTTATTCTTTTGTTTAGATATTGTTCTTTCATGGTTATCAGAGCGTCCAAGGTCCTCTGAGCTCGTAAATTCATCGATAATGACTTCCCGTGAGTTTTACAACCCAAGAGATCCACGGCGGTTTTATTCTACCGGCCCACCAGACAGCAGTCCAATTAACACGATAACATCTCAGTACCTTTGCCTCTCCCCGTCGCTGTTCCAGCTGCGGCTGCGCTGGCCGCCTACGCCAACGCCAAATACCTGCTTTCATACGATTGGGATCTCGTGAGCTCGGTCGCCCCGGCTCTGGTTCAAAAGGCTTGGTGGACGAGACGTGGGCGCATCAACTTCTTTTACCGCCTTGAGGACCTCGCCACCGCCAAATCCTCCGCCAACCGCGCCTTTCTGCGCTTCGAGGACAGAGTTCACACCTACGCCCAGGCTTATGACACGGTACTTCGCTATGCAACATGGCTGAAGGAGCGGCGCGGTGTCAAGAAGGGTGAATTGGTTGCCCTGGACTTCCAAAACACCGATACCTTCATCTTTCTTATTTTCGCCCTCTGGTCGCTTGGCGCTGTGCCCGCTCTGATCAACTATAACTTGACGGGCAAACCGCTGGCGCACTGCGTGAAGAAAGCAACCACCCGCCTGGTGCTGATCGACCCCACTGTCGCCGATAACGTCGGGGAGGATGTTCGATCGGAGTTAAGCGATGTGACATTTGAGGTTGTCACGCCGGAGCTAGAGGTTCAGATGCTGTCGCACGACGCGACCCGGCCGCCGGATGAGTTCCGTAGCGATGCTGTGGGAACCACCATGGGTCTCCTGATTTACACGAGCGGCACCACGGGGCTTCCTAAGGCGGCCATTGTGTCTTGGGACAAAATTGCGGTGGTAGGCGGGTTTACGTCTCGCTGGGCGGGGACGAAGAAGAGTGACGTTTTCTACACAGTGAGTATCACCGCCCAGTCGCCGTGAACTGGTGGGCGGAACTGACTCACTTTCTTCTAGGCCATGCCGCTTTATCACAGTACCGCCATGCTACTCGGATTCTCCAACACGCTCTCTGCCGGTGCCACCTTCGCGATGAGCCGGAAGTTCTCGACAAGCGGATTCTGGGATGACGTGCGGAAGCATAACGCCAACATCATCCAGTACGTCGGCGAGACGTGCCGTTACCTGCTTTCGGCACCTGCCCGCATCGACCCCGCGACGGGCGAGAACCTCGACCGCAAGCACAACGTCCGCATTGCCTTTGGGAACGGTCTACGCCCAGACGTGTGGAACAAGTTCAAGGAACGCTTCGGCATTGAGACCATCGCCGAGTTCTACGGTGCCACGGAGGGCAGTTTTGCCACCTGGAACATCAGCCGCAACGACTTCAGCATGGGGGCCGTCGGCCGCGCTGGATCGATCTACAACCTCGCCGTCGGCCGCTCGATCGCGATCGCCGAGGTCGACCACGAGACGGAGCTCCCGTACCGCGACCCGAAGACTGGCCTCTGCCGCCGTGTCGCCCGCGGTGAGCCCGGCGAACTACTATTTACCCTTCCGGCCGAGGATGTCGAGTCGCGGTTCCAGGGGTACTACGGCGACAAGGAGGCCACGGGCAAGAAGATCATGCGCGATGTGTTCAGCAAGGGCGACGCATGGTTCCGCACGGGCGATATCGTGCGGTGGGATTCAGAAAACCGCGTTTACTTTA